GAGAAGCTGACGTGCGGAGGACTCTGACGCACGGAGAAGCTGACGTGCGGAGGACTCTGACGCATGGAGAAGCTGACGTGCAGAGGACTCTGACGCGCGGAGAAGCTGTCGTGCGAAAGAGCTGATGTGTGGAGGAGCTGACGTGCGGAGGAGCTGATGTGTGGAGTACTCTGACGCACGGAGAAGCTGATGCGCGGAGGACTTTGACGCACGGAGAAGCCGACGTGCGGAGGTCTTTGACGCACGGAGAAGCTGACGTGCAGAGAAGCTGACGTGCGAAGAAGCTGACGTGCGGAGAAGCTGACGTGTGGAGGACTCTGACGCACGGAGAAGCTGACTCTGACCTCTTAAATCGTCGATATGTTCACGTTCTCGGTCTCCTTCCAATTTATTCCTTTCACCATCAAGATCAGCTGGTGCGAAGTCGTTCGTTTCTTCCGTTGTTTTTAACGGAGCTGCATCAGCCAGGTCGATGCCTACGGGTTCAGGGCTCGCTTCGCGCCGCCGTTTTTTCTGCATCATCTTGGCGTTCTGCAATATCTCGACGGCCCGCCAACATTGAAGTTCTCGCGCATACCATAGGTATGCGTACGTTTTCATTGAGGCGGACAATCCTTTGTTCAATCGTTCCAGACGCTTCCTGATATCTTTTAATGTGCTTTTTACTTTTTCCGCGGACACTTGCTCCTGCATCTCTTGGCTTACTTTTTCGGCCAGTTCCTCAAACAGGCCGAATTGTGGCCCCCGCGGACGCCACAACTTCGGGTAGTCCCAAAGAAGTCGGGAGAGGACACAATGGAATTTTTCATTGAAAACAGACATATTTACCGACGATTTTTCCAAAATAGTTTTCGGGGTAGCTGGTGCGTCAAAAAGACGTAACGCCCGCACAAATATTGTTTCTAGGTGAAGGCTTAGTTTTCACGAAAATATTTATGAGTGCGGAAAGTTAAGCAAAAAGCGATCTATGTACTTTAAGTTTACAGCAATGCATTTTATACCTCGAACATGTACAAGATAGTAACGGTAATCCTTCCACGATGGAAAAAATGTATTATTTATCTTTGCACTTGTTTATGATCTGAAAGGAGAGCTAAAACGTACTGCTATTTTTATTATTTTTTTTGGTTTGTTTGGAAATGGATTGGACCAGTTACATTAAAATTAGATCCACAATCCTCATTAGAGCCATTGATGATAGTTTTGAGGTTAGATAGAAACTAATGTAACAGAATGTTAATTATGAGAAGCTCTGTTCCGCTTGGCTTACGAGGACTGTTTGTTTTCAAAATTAATTCACAGAATTCATCGTTAATATCTTCTTCATTTTCCACTACTGTTAATTTATTTCGATATTCGTCCGTTTCGGTATCTTGTTCGTTGAAAGCTAATTTTCAATGTTGGCCGTTAAGGACCAGTTGGATTTCGGATGCGGTATACCACGATATTTCCAATAACTAAAAGTCTTCGTCAGGCTGTAAAAAAAAGAAGGATGTTATAAGTATTTTCACTTTTCATTTCACTTTTTTTGAAAACAAACCTTCTGTTCCTGGCTGCCGCGATTATTAAACGCTTTAATGTTTCGGTTGGAGGCGTATTTAATTTATACGTTTTGATGCGATTTTCATTACAATTCGTAAAACGGCTCTTCCTTTCCTTCTATTTACATTGTGGTAATTCTTGACGCTATTTCATGTTATTGTAAACATCGATGTCAAGAAATATCATTTGTTTTAATGCCATACAACCAATAATAGAAATGAAGAATGTTAAAATGAATTCCGGAATTTTCAATTAAGACACTGTGTTGCCATATTCGCAAAACTTTAGCTCTAACATGCGCTGATATATCGTTGATGTGCATTAGTAAATTTTTGTAATGGGCATTGCATTAAATTATATAATTGTATCAGAAATAGACTGCGTTTAATGTCCCAATTAGGATATTCGACGATGTATGTTATGTGCGAAGGACTCTGACGCACGGAGAAGCTTATTTGCGGAGGAGCTGACGTGTGGAGGACTCTGATCGAAAGATTTTGTAGGAATTTTTTGGACTTGATACAATGTTTCATTCATTTTCAAAATTTAATGAAATAATATGTTATTCTAAAAAAAAGGAAACTTATTCATAAGTGAACAAAAGATTTAAAATTAAAGAAAAAGACAACACGAAAGCAATCAACATCCTCGAATCTATTGGACGAGAGATCTCCGCATGGGCAAACTCGTCAGGGGCTAAAATTTCCATACAAAAACCTAAAAAAGTGCACATTTGTCGAAAGCAGATTTGCGATGCAGAAAATCTATTGATGCATATTAATGGCATACCAGTACTAAACGTGCAGACGCTGCATATTCTCGGGCTCACTTTTTCCAACAAACATCGTTGGAAAGCACACTGCCTTCGGTTAAAAAACTCCTTTTTAACA